TATGCTAACTGCTAGTCCCATTCCAGGATGGTTTTTAAAAATATGTTTGGAAAATAATCTGAAATTATTTGAATATGCTTTTCTTTCTTTCGTTCTTTCTTTTTTCCTTTTTTTTTTTTAAGAAAGATTTTTTTGTTCTATACAGCACAAGTGCTCACTGGAAAGGCAGAGAGAGACAGAGAAAGACAGAAAGCAAGAAATCACCCTCCAGGGGGAATAGCCATGCCACAATCCCTTCTCCTTTAGTCTCTTCTTTGGATTTTGGGAACACACGCACATGTGCTGGTATTGAGTTTTAAACCACTGGATCTGGTACTCGAATCACAATTGATTATGTGGAAGTCCAGCAACATAACCGTTACACCATCTGCTGGTCCCTTGAATATACTTTCCTTATATTTCATGAAATAATTTGATGTTGTTGCCACTTGTACTTTTAGATATGTTGCTGTCCCCTAGGTATTGTCTGGACTCAGAGTTGTGTGCGGTTGGAAGGTAGTTAATTTTTTATCCCAATACTTACTTTAGAGGTGAAGAAATTGACATTTTGAAAGCTAATGTAGTTTGTCCTTATTGCACAGCCCTTTGCCCACAGAAAAAAGACTAGAAACTAGTCTTGTCTCCTAGTAGTAATGTGTTCACTTTAACTTCATAAATTCTTGGTATATGCAGTGAGAAGAAAGTTAACTTAGGCTCCTCAGAAACTTATTCAACCTTTTCTTTGATTTGACATTAATTTGATTTGGCAAGCAATTACCAAAAGGCCTGGCATCTTGATAATTTACTGTACTTCTCCCTGTTACTTTTTGGTATTGTTAGCCAGATCACATTTACTCAATCAGAGACCTGTTAGAGTCCTAAGTGAGCCTTTGATCTGAATCGCATCCATTCAGAACAGTTTGCTTCTTTGAAAAATATAATCAAGTTGATTGTGAAGCATGACTTGAAAAATGTCTCATGTTTAAATCATGTTAAGACATCTCACTCAGGTGGTGTCACTTTTTCTGAGGAAATGAGTTGTACTCAAATGACTTTTTAAAAGTGTCTCCCAGCAGAGAGGCGGGGTCATGTTGGTGTGATAGCAATGCCCTGCTTCGTTTCCTCCAGCCCATTTTATTCACGTCTCTACACTCCAATTTTAATTATGCTAAAATTAATTTTTAGGCATTTATTTTACCACTTAGTGTTGCTAAACTAGTTTTCCACCCTGTGGAGCTCATTTAACTTATTGCTCAGCCATGTTGCTTTAGTGAGAAGGAATCTTAAGGTGGCATTTTTCTGAGATATTTCAAAGTAATAGAATTAAATATATACACATTAACAAGAGAGGGCTGGGACCAGCAATTGGTGTAATGGCTGTGTCGCTGGACTCCCACGTAGTCGACCGTGGTTCAAGTCCCGGACCCGGTGGCTTAAAACTCATGCCAGGCATGTGTGCATGTGTGCCCAAGATCCTAAGAGGAGAATGGAGGAGAAGGGATTGCGGTGTGGCCATCCCCCCTGGGGGGTGATTTCTCGCTTTCTGTCTCTGTCTCTCTCTGTCTGTCTGGCAAGCGCAGGAGCCCTATAGCAAAAACCTCTCAAAAACAAACAAACAAACGAAACAAAACAAAATAAAAAAACAAAAGAGGGCCAATGTAGCTATGCTAATGTCAGATGAAACTGAACTAAACTCAAAAAAGTTTAGGCATTAAGAGGCCCCTATAAAATGTTTATAGACTTAATACATATGGAAGATTTAAAAATTCTACATTTATAAGTACCTAGTAACAACTTCACAATGTATAAATCAGTATTTGACAGAATTACAAGCAGGAATCGCCAAATTCACTATGATAGTGGACCACTTTAAAATTATATTCTTTTGCTAATAGATCAAACAATTACTTAATAGCGTAGAAGTTTTTTAAAAAATTGGGAAGCTAGGGACCAGCAGTTAGGCTATGTCGCTGGACTCCTATGTAGTCAACCGCAGTTTGAGTCCCAGACCCGGTGGCTTAAACTCACGCCAGGCGCGTGTGCGTGCGTGCCCAAGATCCCGAGAGGAGAATGGAGGAGAAGGTATTGCAGCGTAGCCATCCCCCCTGGGGGGTGATTTCTCACTTTCTGTCTCTCTGTCTCTGTCTCTCTGGTGAGTGCACATGCCCTATAGCCAAAACCTCTCAAAAAAAAAAAATTAGGAAGCTACATGTAATGAACATATATAGAATTTACATCCAAAATTGAGAAAATATATTTTCGCAAACACACACAGATCAGTTTTAAAAATTTAGCATGTGCTAAATCATAATGTATGTCCCAACAAATGTCAAAGAACCTTTTTAAAATATATTTTATGTTATTTTTATTTCTTTAATACATTCGATCACTATACATCACTTAGCTTATAAAGTGAATTTTCCAACACGAATACATTTCTCACCAGTCCAGTTAGGGATGCTGTACATGTTATCATCAGTAAACAATAATTGAATAATCTCTCTCTCTCTTTTAATGTGCTGTAGGATATGAATGCTTGCCAGAGAGAGACAGACAGACAGACAGAGGGAAGGTGAGCAAGTGACCTTTGTCCTTTCCCTGCTGGCTCTCACGGCCTTACCCCTGAGCTGGCACTAGATTGCTGTTCTCTAACAGCTGTTGGCACAGTGGCTAAGGCAGCTGGATCCCACATACCCAACGGTGTGGTTCAAGTCTTGCACCTAGCCACTTGAAAGACATGCTGGGAAGCTGTGCATGCATGCTGAAGTTCCTGAAAGGAGGGAAATGGAGAAGGAGTTGTGGCATGACCATCCTCATGGGGCTGAGAGGGATTCCTCACTTTCTCTCTCTCTCTCTGGCAAGTGCACATGCCCTCTAGCAATTCCTTTTTTAAAAATAATTTAACTCATGTTAGGTTAAAATCTTAAGGTACAGATTTTGACTTGTTCAGCAGAACTGATTTGTTCGATAGGAGTACCAAGTAGCTGTTTTATCTTTCTATCAACATGTTTATTTTAAAAAATGATTGTGTTTGGGTTTATGTTCTGTAAGGATGGCTATCTTTATGCCTGTAAAATGCATTTCAGAGCTAGTAGGTTTCATGGAATTATGTGAAACACATGCTTTCTCTCTCTGTCTCTCACACACTCTCATACACACACTCTCACAAGAAGGGAAAAGATGAATAAACTTCATGAAATCAAAATAAACAAAAACACTTCGAAGAAATGAAAGACAGGACCTGGGTTGTGACTGAAGATGGCATGTGAAGAATACAGAGCACGAGGTGAGGGTGGAAAATAGGCAGGGGCCCGACCGCTGGACAGTGCCAGGACTCTGTGTCTGCTGTTTCTCTGGCTCAGAATGCTTTCCTGTCTCTTGGCTCAGCCTCTCCCTTTCTATCTTTTGGGTACATGACAGTTACCTATCATCATATTCTTATTACTGCATTAACACTTGTCATCAGTGATAATTATTTTTATGCTTACTTGTTTATTTTCTATTCTTCATGAGAATGTATATACTCCACAAGACGGAGTAGCCTCTCTTGTTCACTGTTTTATCCCTGCCAGCACTTAGAATCTGCTCCTACCAGGCCCCCCAGAAGAGAGTTTTCCAGCGAATGAGTAGATTAATTAAACAGAATTTAGGGCTAAAATATTGATTACTGAATTTTTATTTTATTGCGATTTTTTTTCCCTCTAAAAAAATGTGATTTTATTCACCATTGAGCCAGGTACTCTACAGGGTGTTGCAAATGCTTCCAAGTTGACTGAAGTCTTTCCACTGGGTAGTGCAGAATCTCCTGGTGAAGATGTACTTAGCATTACTGGTTTAGGCGGTTCAAAGTACTAAAGTAAGGATAAATATAGTCCTAAAAATTTTATTTTTACAGTGAACTAAACGTGGTGAGCACTTATTAGAATCTTGTGGCTGGCATTGTAGCACAGTGGTTAAGGGAGCCAGATTTCACATAGTCAACTGCGGTTTGAATTCTGGCCCTGATCACCTAAAATGCATGCCAGGCATGTGCGTATGCATGCCCTAAATCCTGACGGGATGAAGAGACGGAGGGGAAAGGATCGTGGCATGACCATGCCCTGTTGGGAATGCTTTCCCTTTCTTACTCTCTCTCTCTCTGGTTAGTGCTTGCACCTTTTGGCAATTAAAAAAAAAAAAAAGTTCTACAGGCTAAAGTAAAAATCTGTTTTTTTCTAAGATGAAGCTTATTTTTATTAGTTTTTGAAAACTAATGACTCAATAGAGATCATTTGTATTTACATAGTATTATATACTTTGTTTTGACAGATTGGAAAGTATTTAGTAAAGAGATACATAATCCAAGCAATTTTGTAGAAGGAATCATACTGGGGCCAGCAGGTGGCATAATGGTAACATCGCTGAACTCCCACCTGATGCAGTCTGAGGCCTGAACCCTGCGCTTGAAATTCATACTGGGCACATGTGTACACGTGCCCAAAATCCCGAGAGGAGAAAGGAGGAGAAGGGATTACGATGTGGCCTTCTCCCTGGGGGCTGATTTCTCACTTTCCTTCTCCCCATCTATCTCTGTCTCTCTGGCAAGTGCACACATTCTGTAGCAAAAATCTCTGTCTTAAAAAAGCGTAATGGCTATGTCGCTGGATTCCCACGTAGTCGACCGCGGTTTGTGTCCCGGACCCGGTGGCTTAAAAAACTCATGCCGGGCGCGTGTGCGTGCGTGCCCAAGATCCCGAGAGGAGAATGGAGGAGAGGGGATTGCGGCGTGACCATCCCCCCTGGGGGGTGATTTCTCGCTTTCTGTCTCTATGTCTCTCTCTGTCTGTCTGGCGAGCGCACACGCCCTACAGTGAAAATCTCTCAAAAAAAAAAAAAAAAGAAGGAATCACAGTATGTGATTGTGGTTTTAATTCCATTAATGAAAACCTAATTGCTCTTAAGAAGCTATAGAAATCATATTCTTTGAAACTATATTTTTCTAAAATCATGGCCATAATTTGTTTTCTTTTTTATGCCCATAGAAATTTGAAAATGAAGTTAAGTCAGAGGAGATAATGGTTTCTCCTCAGAAACTTCCTCATGAGGATTATAAGTATCTTTTTCCAGTGGCTTCAGAAAGGTATAATTAATATGTTTATTTAGTGAGTTTTTTGTTTATTGATATTGATAGCTAGTCCCCTGAATGGAGACAGTGAATACTGGCCCTCGATTATTGGTTATTTTTTCATGATACAGCTTTTTATAAATGTGATTTAGCTTTCTTAGAAATATGATGTATTTATGATCTAATTAGTATGGTATAACAAGAACAAGATATTCTGGAAGGATTCAATTTATCATCTCAGGAGTCAAATAGCTTCAAAGCCTTTGTAAATATGCTTGAAGCTCTTGGAAAGGGCAGTGTTCTTGAGGTAGCATAAAGCTTAGTGTACTACTAGGTTTTATTAGTAAGCCTAATTCAGAAAGAAAATTTTGTGCTAGAAACAGTAGGACTGTTAGCATGCTGAATTGTTGGTACTATACATGAAAAAAGTAAAGAACCTGAAGAAAAGTAAATTTCCATTAGGAAGAAAAAATAATAGCATTTTCCATGCTTATGTTCAAATTTAAACACTACATAAAAAATTAAATAAGGAAATATTTTATTAAGCAGTATTTCCTTAGAGATTTATCTCTATTTTAGCTAGTCATTGGAATATTGCTGCATAATAATATAAGCCTTCTTTATATTGTGCATAATGTGTGTTTCTGAATCACAGTATGTGATTCTAATTCAGAAAATGGTTTATACAATGTTCAGAACTGCAGTAAAAGAACATACAACAGTAATTCTAAAGGCATTTGAAAATTCTGTTAGATACTAAGCACTGTATGTAAATGCAAAATATTACATAGTTCTCGCTCTTTGGTTCCCAGTTTAATTTGAAAAATGACATGTATAAAGACAAATTTAAATACAATGTAGTAAACATTAGTATAGGGTCAAAATCCAAAACTTATGGGTACAGAAGACAGAGGACCTCATGGGAGTTTCTCACAAATTTCTTTGAAGAAAAGATACTTTAGTTGGATTTAGGATTTAAATTACTAGAAATACAGCAGATGAATAGGGAGAGAAGAGAATTCTAAGCTGGGGAAGAAGTTTCAGCAGTGAAGCATTGTGAAAATGTCTTACAATGGTAAGAAATATGTCAAGAGTTGTAGCGTCTGTGTGAGTTGGAATGCAAGGTAGCTGAAGAGTGTACAGCGGATAATGTAGTGTGGGCTGGCGTGTGAAGGAAGTCGACACATGTAAAACCAAGTGTACATTTTATTCAGCCTATTAAAAAACAAAGGACAGAGAAGTTCTTTCCATTTTATTTGGTCATCTATCTGTCTATCTGCAAGGAGGATTCTGGTAACAAAGTGAGTATAGCTTGGAGTAGCAGAAAAATGGAGATCAATGAAGTGTTTATAGTAATCCAAGAAAAAATGAGGAGGAGAGGACAAAGGAACCTGAGATTACAGAAGCAAAAGAAAGAGGCATATGCTTGCTAAGGTCAAAGCCTAAAGTGCATGAAATCAGTAAAGATGATGAAAAACTATGCAGGGGCCAGCTAGCCAACATTCTAAACTCATGTGTCCATAAGGAGGTTTGATGTATCCTCAGGTTGGTAGGTGGGTATAATTCAATTTATATTTTAAGAAGAATTTTTTCAAGACATCAAAGATTAGATGCAGAAGTCTAGGTAAGAGGCTTTTGCTAAATGGGCTTGCAAATAAAAGTGCAACGAGAGCCAAGCAGACGGTGTGAATAGTGAGAGTGTGGAAGGGAAATAGGGAAAGTGAGTGGTCTAGTATATGAAGATCTGATAGCAGGTCGTAGCTGGGCAAAGACAGAGTTGAAAGGGTTCCCGAGTTTTAAGATCTGACCTGGTGGCTTGCTTGCTCACTTTCTCCCCACCTCCTCACTCTCTCTCTGTCTGATGAACACATGTGTCCTATAACAAATAAAAAATATGCTCCATGGAATACGATTCAACCATAAAAAGCAACAAGGCCCAGGAATGTGATAGAAAGTGGACAAATATGGAAGATCTATTGATGAGAGAAACCAGTCAGGCTAGGAAAGGGAGACATCGTATGTCTTCACTTAACATATACTGACTGACTGCACTCTATGGTAGAGACTGAAAGGTTGGACGATATAAAAGCATTAAACATTGTCATGGACATTAGAGAGAAAGTGGAAGGAAAGTGTGGGAGGAGAAGAATGTAGAAAAGGAAATTTGGGGAAAAGATAGGGAGGTAAGACATTTGTGGGACACAGATCTGGTTTCTTATCTGTTGATGAGGACGTGTATAGTATTCTTAACTGGGCTGAACTGAGGTGTGTACCATGCTTGGTAAAGTCTCTTTATAATCGAAATGATGATGTATAGTGATTGAATGTATAAATAATAATAATAAAATAATAAAAAAGAATAATTTTAAAATTAAATAAATATGAAAAAAAGATTCGAGAGAACTGATAGTATTCATATGATACAAAGGAAGTTGTAGATAAGGAGAGAGAAAATACATATATAAGTACATGGGTTTGAGATGGTGGGAGAATTGATTCTGAACAGGAAGAAAGAAGGAAGTGATGAAAAATGCTGATTTATCTAAGTATGCACTTTAAAAGAACTAAGTGGAAGAGTCTTTGCAGTAGGAAGGGCTACGTTTTCATTAAGAAGAATAAGATAAGGATTGCAGGAGGTAGTCCCTTGGAATTAGTACTAGGAACCTGTGATGTCAGGACTTCTTCCCCCAGCCTTGGAGAAGGAGGGGAGAAGCTGAATAGATTGATGGACCCAAAGCAGCTAGTTTGCAAGCCAGATAGATGGGGGCAGAACCGGAATTTGTCTTCAGATACTGGGATTTTGGAATTATTCAAGAAGTAGGACAGTTCCAGGTGGTAACAGCGGAGTGACAGCTGAACCAAAATGGAGGTGAATACCAATAGAATAATTAATAGGGAATATTAGACATTCTTTCTTAAACACATATATTGCTTGAAAACATGGACAAATATATACACTTCTTTTCTAGTGTGCGTGATCCCGGCTTTCTGAATCCTAGAGGTTTTTATGACAGAAACAAGTGTAACAGTGAGAATGATCTGCTTCCAGGGCCATCAGAGACTCTGTTTCCTGGTATGATGTCATCCTGTTTATTCTAGTAAATTCTGGAAGAGGCTCTATTTAAAATATAGGCACAAAGATAGTTCCAATACAGATGAAGGAAAGAGCTTGGACAATTTTTAAAAATGGAAAAATGTGGTTTTCTAGGATTTTCTTTTAAAAATAAAGAAAAATAACTTATGTCCCATGTTCATAAAGGCAAATTTCTGCCCTTCAGAAATTTTAATACATCAAAGATGTCAATTTATTAAAATGATCCATTTGTATTTTCTTAAACTAGGAATTATAGATTTATATAGTCTCCAAAAATATGACCTGCCTTCTTATTGCCCTCTTTATAATTTATGGCACAATATATACTTTGTAAGCAAAGAATACATTTTTATAGTAGAAAAAAGGCAAATATAAGTATATATAATAAAAGAAATAATAACATTGAAGAATAGTCCAAAATAAGGAATTTTTGTGTGTATATGTTTATGTCTACATATCATGTAAAAGCATTTATAGCTATGAACATACACAGAAGTACACACACATGCATATACAGTTTATGTTGTGAGGTTGAGGAATCACATGCACACCTCAAACACCTTGGGATTGCAGGGAGCAGACAGTGGCCCAGAAGTAAAATGTGCTCCGTGAGACCAGCCTACATGGAAAGGTTCTGAATTTGTGCTGAGAGACTGCCCTGACTATTCCAGGCATGCATGTGCCCATGATCCAGGACTGGCTGAGACGGAGTGGATTGTAGCATTAAAACTCCGCCGGGGTGTGTGTGTGTGTGTGTGTGTGTGTGTGTGTGTGTGTCATCTCTTTGTTTCTCTCTCTTTTCTGTTTCTCTCTCTCTCTCTCTCTTTCTCTCTCTCTCTCTCTCTATCTTGGGAAAAATAAGTAAGTAAACTTAAAAAAACTTTGGAGTTTCAACCTCCTATCAAGTGTAGGAATGGTCTTCTCTAATGATTTTTTTTGAATTTGAAAAATATCAAATCTAATTAAGATAACATTACACTGTGTGATTATTAAAGTACAGGTGTCATACAGAATCATTTAGAAGAAAATACTTTTAAAATTGAGGTACAGCTTCCACGTGGTAAAATTCATCCTTTAGCATGCAGTTCTGCAAGGGTTGACTGTCTAAGACCACAGTCAAGATACGGTACGTTTCTGTCCCACCCCTCAGATTTCTCTTGTAGTAGTCTCCTAACCCCACCAGCTGCCCTGGCAACCAGTAATCCATTTTCATTCTCTTTACTCTTGTCTTTTTCAAAGTGTCATTGTAAATGGAATCATAGATATTTAGCCTTTTTAATCCAACTTCTTCCGCTTAGCATAATGCTTTGGATACTCATCTATGTCATTGCATTTATCAGTATCTGGTTTCTGTTTTTGTTGAATAGTATTCCATTGCATGGCTACGCCAGTCTGTTTATCCTCTCACCAGTTGAAGGACAGTGGGTTGTTTCCAGATTTGGGCAATTATGGATAACACTACAGTCATTCATATCCGGGTCTTGTGTAAACATAAGTTTCCATTTCTTTAAGGTAAATATCTAGGAATGGGATTGCTGGGTTGTAGTGAGTAATAGACAAACTATGTTCCAAAGAAGCCATGCCAGTATTATTGTTTGCTTTTTACTGATTTTCCTTTTATTCTTTTTTTCTCTTTGTTTCAGGTAAGGTAACTTCTGTCAACCCATCTTCAAGTGTACTGGTCCTTTTCTCAGGTTGTATTGTCTCCTAATCAGCCCATTGAACACATTCTTTATCCCTGTTACAGTGATTTTTATTTATAACATTTCCTTTTGTTACTACCTTAGGGTTTCATCTCCCTGTTTAAATTTCCCATCTGTTACACATTTTTATCCAGCTTTTCCACAAGAGCTTAAAAATGTTAATTATACTTACTTAAAATTCCTTCTCTGGTAACTGGTGACTTTAACAGATGGATTGTTATTGATTTTTCCTGTTGCTTGCTTGCTTGCTTTTTTTTGGACAATGGTTTTTGTTTTTGCTGCTGCTGCTACTGTTTCTTTGTGTGTCTCATAATTTTTTATTGAGTGTTGGTGTTGGGTGTAGTAGAAATTGAAGCAAATAGGATTTATGCCTAGGAATAGTCAGGGCCACTCCTCTGCTAGGCCATCAATACAGGTTCTTGATTTAGTGTATTTGGGACATAAGGTGGATTTGGGTTTTGTGTTGCTGTCCTTATTGCAGTAAAGCATTGGCTTGGACTTCATTAGGGTTAGCTTGTGCTGAGGGTGGCAGCTGAGATGCTAGAGAGTTTGTGTTTTTAATTATTAACCTTCCTCTGTTCTGTCCTTAGCTCTAGGCCTTTCCTGTGTGCCTGTGCTTTAGAAGGCTCCCTCTCCTCTCCTCCACTGCCTCTTCTCTGGTAGTTGACTGGTGCTTGCCAGCATGCAAAGTAAGGTCAGATTTTTCCTTGTCTCCCTAATTTGATCTCAGTTTTAGGCAGGTCTGGTCCTCGGTTCTCAGTGGTTCCTGGGCAATGCTACTGCCCCTTGTTCTCATGCTGCCCTATGCCTTTGGCAGATCCACCTCGGGAGAGAGTTTCTGCCCCTGCTGAGTGATAGGGACAGAAACTTGTAACAGTATTGGCACAGGATCCTCCTGCTCTTCCAGGAGTAGAGGGATCTTCCTTTCCTTATCTTTATGCAGCATGTTTTGCTGCTATTCCTCCTGCAGCTAAAGGCTCTTTTCTTCAGGGGAATTAGTTGGCCTTTATGCTTTTCCACAATGGCAGAGGCTCCCTTCCTCTGCATCTGCAGCACTGAGGGGATGGTTCATCCTATTCTGTGCTCCCAGTCCTTCTTGGGAGCACCTGTTGGAGGTCTGTGGGGTTGAGTCATGGGTGCGTGTAAATTCTCTTTGTGTTTGGGCCTGCCTGGGAATCCATGCAGTCATGATGGTCCACATTAAGCCTTCGGCAATGGTTAATTTTCTATCTAAATACTTCTTTCCCACTCATATAGTGCCTGGCATCTGCTTCTCCCACAAGCTGCCATAGGTGAGCCAGTGTTCATGTTCTGTTGCTCCTTAGAGGAGCCTGTCTTTCCTTAGATTTCAGATGACATGACTGCCCTGCAACTCCAGCTCTCTGATATGTTCAATAAAATCTTTCAAAAATTATTTTAACTTTTTTAAAATTCAGTTTTTAAAAATTTGACCAGAGAGGAGCAGAGCGAGAATGAGAGCGAGAGCAAGAGAGAGAAAGAGAGAGAGAGAGAGAGAGAGAGAGTGAGAAAGCAAGCCACCGGTTCAGGACTCGAAAATTGTGGTCAGCCATGTGGAAGCCCAGCTCCCTGAACCACCACGCCACCTGCTAGCCTCTCATTAATATCTTGATTTAGTGGGTTTTTTTCAAGTTGTATGTATTTTTAGAATATAAGTGATAGTGATACTAGCTCTTTACATTAGGCAGAAATGGAATTTTGAATATAAATATATTTCTAAAATAAAAATAATACACTGTTATATACGTATTATATATGTATATCTATATATATATCTATGTATGTATGTGTATATATATATATATATATATAGAGAGAGAGAGAGAGAGAGAGAGAGAGAAAGCTTTATTTAACCTGCAGCTACTCTAACAACAATGGGAAGCTCATAATTTAAGAGCACTGTCTAGCCAAACAAATCTTGATCTTAAGGAAAAGGAGTGGTTTTCTGAGCCTGAGAAAAATAAGAAACTCAAAATATATCTGGGGATGTTATTTTTAGTTCTGCCAGTGTTCAAACAAGAAGACTAGTATTGTTTTTGTTTTGCTTCATTGTAGCTTCTGCTCCATGACCAGTGTTACTGCTGTATGCGATTTATTTGTTTTCAACAGAAAGCCATGACCTAACTTGTAGAGCAAGTTCGCAGGTGGAAGCACACAGAAACTGCTTTTTTATTTCTCAATATTATCCTTTTCAGTTTCAGCTTAGGACCAAGTTAGGGTCATCCTGGGTCTATTATTGAGGTGTACACTGACAAAGGACTAATGCCCAGAAAATATATTACTTATTAATAAGTCAGATACAACCAAATAGAAAAATGGGCAAAAGGCATTAATATGTACTTCACAGGAGAGGAAACAGAAAAAAATGGTTCAACCAAATTATGAACCAGGGAAGTAAAAATAAAAACAGTGAAATAACAATTTACACTGATAAGATTGCTTAACATTTAAAAATGGAATCATAATCAATATTGTTGAATTTAAATGGACATTTATTACATAATAACTTTCCAAAAATGTTTGGGTTCTTTGTTCTCTAATTTTTTAACCAGTTCACTTGTTTGTTCCTGTGAATGTATTATTATGCTTTGATTATAGTATTGGGTCATTGGAAAATGGTACATTTTGCATAGAAAAACAGAAAAATACATCATGACTTTTCTAACCACCAACTAATTCTTTTTTTAAAATTTTATACATTTAATCACTATAAATCACTACAGCTTCTACAATGAATTTACCCAACACGAATATACTACACACCACTCAAGTTGAAAATACTATACACACAGATAATCATCCATTTTTGTGCCCCATAAATGTCTTGCCCCTACTTCTCTCCTTGATTCCTCACACTTTCTCCCTTCTCTTACCCTCTTCCCACACTATCTCCAGTATCTATAACCATTTTCCATGATTCTATTTCCTCTATTCTTTCAGTTTCTTCCATAGAGTGCAGACAGTTGGTGTATATTAAGTGGAGACATACAATATCTCTCTTTCACAGCCTATATAGTTCCATAGACTATATGTGCCACACTTTTTCAATTCATTCCATCTGTTCATGGACATTCAGGTTGGTTCCATGCCTTAGCAATTGTGAATAATGCCACAATAAACATAGATGTGCAAGCACTTTTCTGAGTGAGTGTTCTCCTATCCTTTGGGTAGTTACCCAGAAGTGGAATTGCTGCATCATATTGTAGTTCTATTTGTAGATCTTTGAGGAACCTCCATATTTTTCTCTGCAGTGACTCG